GTGAATGGAGTAGCCCCATAGTCAATGTGCCCAAGAAGGATGGGTCACTAAGAGTTTGCTTGGATTTCCATAAGCTCAACGCTGCCTCCCAGTTTGATGCTTACCCAATTGATGGGGAGAGATCTAACGGGGTTTTAGTCTCACTATCGCTACAGTGTGGAGCTGATAGAACCTAAGTGTGTTAGAACTCCTGACCTCTTTCTTAGAGAAATAGTTTTTTTTTTGTGTATGTGTACTAGTTCAACTTTGTTTTTTTTGTTTTGTTTTGTTATATATAAATAGTCTGTGGGGAGAATTGTCATAATATACCATCATCTTTGCACCTAAGTGCAATTGTGGCTGGGCCATCATTTAGTTTTAAAAGGACTCACTTGGGCACCCCTCCTGCCCTCCCTGTGACAATACAAAAATAGATTTTTGAGGGACATTTTTATTCTAATAAACTTGACTGGCTATTTTTAAACATAACTGTTGGACTGTTTGTTTTACTGTAGTTGCACATTGAGTACCTGAATTCTGCCTAACACACTGTTGTAGAGAAAGGGATTGAAGACATCTAAAAATAACTTTTTTATTAAATGAGAATGCTGTGCCACTGCAAGCAGGTTATACCAACTCCATTACTCATGAACTCCTCTTACCATGGCAACCAGTGAAAACAAATTGAACATGCTGTCATATCAGTACATTAACTGATGGTACCCCTGGAACACTAAGAACATACAGTACAAAATACCATGCCAACTTCTGTTAACTCATGTAATGGTTTTATAGTGTATCCTAATGCTCATTGAGCCCCAGGCTAGGGCCACCAGCATACTTTGGTATGGGACCCAAAATTAAATGCAAGTCCATGTCCATGGATGAAATCTTGCAGCAACTAGATGATTCTATTTTCTATCCACTGTTTCATTTTAACATTGCTGAATGATGCCAGTTTTTTATCATATGTACTGTACATAAAATGTAGAAATAAGAAACACACATTAGTTCAGAAGCTGTTATGGTCCAGTAGACCCTCCATCTGCAATGCTGTGTCTAGTATCCATCATATTAACATACATTTAGAAATTATATTTAATGTTTTGCACCTGCATCATGTATATTTAAATAGTCTGTTAATATAAAAATCAGCTATCAGCCCTATGATGAACCACAACATGTTTTCACAAATCAGTGTCAATATGTTAAATGTACAGTAAGATACAAATATTATTTTTCAAAAGTTCACATGCATGCTTTTCATGTACCAGAAGGGAACAGTTCCAGAACATGATCTGGAAAATGTTGTCATATCAAAAACACACTCCTGTTTAATGTGTCAAGGAAATAATGTTGCAAAATAGAGTGTTTTTAAAAGTAATGAACCCTTGTGTTGGTCAAGTGACCATCAGAAGAAAGTCTGAGGCTCCTCCTCTTGCAAACATGATCTCCTGTAGACCACTGCATAATATCTTATGAAACAGTTTCAATTGTATGTTGCAGTAACTCATCTTTCCTTCTGTATTTTCCATGCATTTCCACACTCTATTATTCAGAAATCTTAGGAAGCCTAAGAAGGCGAAGGAGTTAAAATACTAATGGCACTTGACTGCTTTGAAAACAAATGATGGTCTGGGCAATAGTCTGTCATTTTGAATCTTCAAAGATTCCCAGAGAAGCTACTGGGCTTGTCACTTACCTAAGGAACTATCTCTATTGCAGCATAACTGCCCAGCAGTCCATCTCTCTGCCCATCTCTTAGTTACCCATCACAATCCCCTACCAGGCAGTCCTGGAGCCCCCCTGACTCAGTGTCACTCATCTGCCCACTCTATGACAGTATGGCAGCACCACAGGGATTTCCTGACTTTTACTTGCATTCAGGAGAGAAATAAACTATAATGCCTATTTTCGGCAATGCATTGCAAACAATGTTTGCAGCTAGAATAGATCATACGTAATTTAACAGGGAATCATTTTTTTACTTGAATGCCCATTAATATATTTTGACCTTGTCTAGTTGCAATAGCAATCGTCTGCCCTTGCAAAAAGCATTTCTAAGAAAAATAATCAACGTACAGTAGCTCTGAAATAAGTAATAAATAAGAAATGAAATCATAAAGTTAATCATAGGTAATACCAATAATCTGGCTCAGCTCATGCTGAAAACTATTTAGCCTCAGTGCCTTAAAGACATAGATTAATTTTATCTGAATATATCATAATTAACCAGCTGTGGTAGTGTGTTAGCAAAGGTATTTCAATTTTATTAAAGTTATTATTTTATTAAAATTATGTCTATTATCTTTAGCCAGGAGACCGCTTTACCATAGTGACAGAGCAGCATAGTTTAGGTATTAGGCTACTACACACACGTGCAAAAAAGTACTGTAATATAAAGCATAATTAAACAAAATACATAAATAATGTACTCTGTTAAATCAGTTCTTCAATAAAATAACTGATTTAAACTAAGCATTTACCACTTTTTGTATTGTTCATTTTACTATATTTTAGAATGTAGTTTTCTGTCTTTTTTACCAACATACAACTGACAAACTGCACTCTGTATAAAGCAAGCGATTATTTTCATTGTCATTTGTGATATACCTACAAATGACTACTTAAGGAATTACAGTATATTTTAAATGTACCTCTTTAGAAAACATTATCACTTTTTTGTTTGTAAACATTTTAAGTAGAAACCATGCAACGTACATATACAGTGTAAAAATGAAAAAAGGGAAACAAAAAGAAAAAGTAAGTCACAAACTTCAGTAATAATAAATTAAGCTCTTTTGTGAAAAATGCTTTTTTTCCCCAAAGCAGCTTCTCCTTTTTCTGAGTTCAGATTATGCCCGAGTCTATTCTCTCTAAGTCTGACTGTAAACATCCCCTGGCAGCAAAGATGTGTTGGAATTAATCTTGATCTCTGTTTGTTAGTTTTCTTTCTTTGTTAAAATCACTTCCATGCGCTAATCTTCTATAGCAATTCTACCACAGTTTACACAGTAAAGATTTATAAGGTGATTTGTCAGATATTAAAATAACTAAAATTTAAAATTCTTGACTATAGAATGTACAATTCTTTAACACATATACAGTATATGAAGATAATTTTAAAGGTTTGTGACTACACCAAACATTTCATTGCTTCTACTTTCTAATATTACCTTTCATGAAATTTATTATGCAAATGTTAAAAATCCTGTTGAAAATAATAAAAAGGCAACAAAAAACAAGGAGAAAAAGAGTCACCATTGTTTAAATGCTTGTTGGTCACATGAGGACCATCAGTTCTAGAAGATATCAAATTACTGCAAAGTTCCAGGCTGAAAATAAAGAAGAAACAATGTTTCAGCTGTTATACTGTACAGTATATGACTGGTATTTTCTTAACACGAATAATAAAAATCCATATTTTGGCAGCAAAAATCATTGTCATTACATTTTTTTTTTTTTTTAATTCATTTTTTTCTTTTTTCTTGCCAAATTCCCCCCCCCCTCCAGAGACAAAGGCATCATCCCCTGTTGTCCCAGTTGATCAAGTTCCCACCAGAGCACCAGTTAGTTCCTCAAGAAAAGGAGATGCTCTTCACTATATGTGCCCTTGTAGAGGGGGTTTTAGGCCAGTGTTTACAACAGGCCTCTGGCTGTTGTCAGTGCCAAAGTAAACATCTGTTTTACTTCCAGGAGTTCAGTGTTTTCCTTTGGGACATGAAGGAGAGGCATTGCAGTATTTCCCATTGGAACTGTACCACTATCACTGCCACCACTCTGACTGGGTCTATTGCCATCTCCCTCCTGCTGCTTCCTTCACCAGGCTACTGACATTCTTAGTAAAATGAAACATCTCTTAATGTTTTAAGAGACAAAATACAGCTCCCTTTGAAAACATTTGAAACAGATTTAGTAATTAGCAGATGTATGATGGTAAACCTCTGATCTTAAAATCAATTAAGCCAGTATTAAATATTCTATAAATGTTTTAAGAAAGTATTTTCATGGCTTTTCAAAACAATTAAACAACATTTTTATATGGATTTTTATATGCATATTCTCTAATCTACTGCATTTTTGCGACTTTCTTAACTCAAAGGGTTTTAGAAATTGAATATGAATTTGCAATTTAAAGACAATTCCGTCAATCAAGCTAGGTAGTGCATTGAACCATAGTAATTTAGCTTTTGAATTCAACGGGGTCTTTAATCGAATAGCAAACCACATGTGTAATAGAGTTTGCAAAAAAAGTAATAGTTTAATAGCATAAAAGTTATATCCCAGCAAACTGTATAACACAAAAAGAAAAAAATACCACTCTACACCAGTACTGATGCTTCTCAAAGCAGCTAGTCATAGCTATTGAGGGATTAGGACATTTCTATACAAACCTTTTGGTTATTGTCCATAAATCCATTTTTTAATCCGTTTATGCAGTACTGTACAGGTGTATCGAATGAGATCGATAGTATCATCGGTCCTCAGAAGAGGATAAACCGTGGACGTCAAAGACCCTGTGAAACAGTTCAAATCCGGGATTATTTTTGTCTTTTGTTAACCTTGGGATAAAAAGCGCTATATAAATGAGCAATTATATAAAGAGAGAGTACATTAAAATGAGTTCCAAAAGGGAAAAATCCAAACACGAAATCCACATTTCCAAAAAGGTTTGACTATAAGAAATGTGACCTTATAGAATTAAACGGGATACTCTCGTAACTATTGTACAATACTGCAGAACTCATTCGCTTTCATTCCGTTTTTACTACATTCAACTCCTCCCAGAGATTCCACACCGGGTTAAAGACCGCGAGGAAGACTTGTTAAAAGTGTTAAAAGAAAATGCCATTTGGTTTATGGAAAAGTAATCTACACCTTGGAATTTTTTTGGTTGCCTGTATGTTTGTGGCGATTGTTGTACAGATATGGTCTCCACATTGACATTAACGAATACACACACGCTTACTTCTGTCTGCTGATACCAGTGACATCACTGTTATTTGCTAGATGGTCTGGACGCATGGAGACTGTTATACTGTAGCCTTCACTATAAGTGACAATTATTGTCACGAGAGGAAGGGATGCATTATTTTTCTAACAAAATAAAGAGGAATGTATGCAGGGAGTTTACCTAATGCACAAGTGCGACGAAAATCACTTTTGTCTCTTGCTTGTGTAAAGAAGCGCTTTTCTTGTTAAAGAACAGAAAAGGCTATCCTGCACACGTGCATTGTGGTATTTTATCATCAGACACGATAAATAATTTACCGCCGTGGGGGCAAATGGAGTTGTGAGTATATTAATTTGTTACATTCTATGTGAAGATTGTTAAAACCCGGTGAACACGCCATGCCATTTAAATGAATAAAATACGTAGCCTGAAAACTTTTCACGTTTAATAACCGGGAAGTTTAATGTGGGTGGTGTTTTGACTGTGCTTTTGCATTTTTGTTTTGATTATCAGTAAACAATCTTGTGTTAAGGAAAAGACAAGTACTGTGTTTATTTTTTCGGATTTTGGGATTAGCGATTTATATCTTTAGTGTTCAGAGAATTCGTTTTTGATCAGACATCAGACCTTCCTATTAAACTTTTGTGTTTTAAAATTGCCCTTCACGCAAATTACGTGAATAATTGGAAGTAGAAAAATATTTTTTTTATAAAACTGTTTCAATCATCTGTAAAAAGCGGCGATAACATACCATGTTTCCAATGTATTTCAAATTAATTATCTGTTGTTGCGTGGGTACTGTGTGTAATTTATCATTAGTATCGATAATAATAGGAGAAATAATAGATTAATATACCAATTGATCAAATCAACACAGAAAAACAGCAGATTGTTCAAATAATGGACTTGTAATTGATCAAGACCTCCAACTTGGCCAAGAAATAATTGAACATTTCTTTTCTGAGATTTGCATCCTAAATCATTTTATATACAATTTATATTTATTTTTTGCATATTTACATTTTATGTTAATCCCATTTAGGAGTATTTTGTTAAAGGTCTAACACCTCTACTAAAGCTGTGTAAAGCTTTTTAAGGATTACTCATTTATCGTCTTTTGCCAGGGGCTGCAGACACGGGAATGTCAGTCTTTGCGGTGGACCAATAACTGTTTAAACTTATTTTAAAAATATTCTAAAATGTGTTACAAAAAAGGCTTAGACTCTTGTTTTGGAAATATACTGTACCAGTATGTTTTCTACACAGTTTGGGAGGTACTCTTTAAAACCTGTGTGTTCATATTGAGTGGTTTCCCGGAAACTACACTATATATATATAGTTCTCGTTTTCTTTAACATTATACATTATACAATATACTATATTTACCGTTAACTCTTTGTTCTTCTAATATAATTTTTTTGTGATTTTAATGTAACCCTGTATCTGAATCTGAATTGTATCTGAATTGTGCCCCAAAAGGAACTTTTTTTTATGTTTCACACTTCATGCGTTAACAGAACTTGAAATGTGTGTTTCATAACATTATGCAGAAAAGTAGCTGAAAAGAATAAGTAATTATATAAATCTTCGAAAGTAAAAAATGCGATCTTTAAGTACTGAATTGAAATTCCAGGGTTCTCATATTGATATTGAGAGAAGCTAAGTATGATGATTCTGCTGTGAGAGTTATTTTTACAGTTGCTTATCAAGACTTTATCCAGTTGAAGGTGATTCAATTGTAAACTTGTGGCCTGTCAGTGCAAAAATAAAAATGTTAGTTCATTCTCAGAAATGAAAATGAAAGAAATGACATAGTGCAAATCAAATCACACATGCTGTAGAATTTTGTTTCACTATACACATCTCAAATTGAACTGTATTTCATAAAGGATAAATTAATTGTGCTGTTCATTTATCAAAAGACCCAGGGCCAAGGTACGGTAGGATACAGCATGAATGGGAAATCAGTTCATTGCATGACTCACACACAGACATTGTTACTAATTTTCAGTACCAGTTTGTCTTGGACTGGGAGAGGAAACTGGAGCACCCAGAGGAAACCCATGTGAACAAGGGGAGGACATACAAACTCCACACAAGTAGCGCCCCAGGCCCAGAATTGAACCCACGGCCTCAATGCAGAAAAGCAGTAATGCTAACCATTGCATCAGCTTGCTGCCCATTATAATTAATCATAAATGTAATATTATTAATAATCATCTCAAAGAATCCCAAAGAGCTTCGACTCTGTCCACATTGCCCTCCATTGAAGCAGAACCCACACCTGGGAAACACACTGCAGCCATTTTGTGCTGGCAGCCCTACCACACAGCAGAGCTGGTGGAGAAAAGCAAAATTCCTTTATCAATTGAATTATGTTTGTGCAAGCATGAAATGGAATTTAATGTGGGCATCAGGGTTAATGCGCCTGCTAGAACAGTCAGGACCTCAGTTTAACGTGAAGGACAGCACCTCCTGCAGCACAGTGGTCCTGTCGTCATACTGGAGCATTTATTTGGAAACTCTGGTCCAAAGAGAATAATGATACTGATTGGTCTTCCAACTGGTAACAGCAATCTGGACTTTAGAGGCCTCCCATCCTCATACTGACAAAACCTGGTCTTGCTTAGCTCCTGAGGTCTGAGAAGATCAGGTCACAGTTTTCCAGGTGGGTCAGTTAAGAACAAATTCACTTTGACAATTACAACCGGGAGATGTGCTTAGTGGAGATACTTAAGTGAAGCATGTTGCTCAAGGACATACTGCAGCATTTAACCTGGGATTTGAACTCATGGCTGTCCAGGCCAGAGGCTTAACCACTGTTAACATTGTGCCAGTTAGTTTAGTCTCCCTTCAGTGTGTCACAAAAAATGAAATATCAGGGTTTATTAATCAGAATTTTCTGTTTATTGTTGGACTATTTTTGTGTCCTCAAAACTTTATAATGTTCACAAATCATGTTCGTGTTCTTTTTTAAATGTTTAAATTTATCTTAATGTATTCATTTGTGTAAACACTAAAAACACAAATTGTTACAAAGCTTTGAAACTTGAATCGTGAAACAAAGGAAAACCCTATTTGGAGTGTAAGCAATAGGTTCTTTGATTCTTACTTTGACTGGGAACTGAAATAATGATTTTCATTCCAGATGAGCTCTGTATGACCTTATTGGATCAATTCATTGCTTAAATAGGAGCTGACATGCTTTCCATATAGTATCTCTGTTTATTGACCATTTAATGCTGCCTACACAGAACTTTGGCTTTCTAGGATAAAGACAACAAACTGATATTTAAAAAAATTACAGTTTTCTAAGCAGGCATTAAACATTTCTCTGCAAAGATCTGCTTGTTTTTGAAAGGGATACATTTCACTTGTAACTGCATTGATCTGAATAATTGCTCCGCAATGGGCTGGTTTCTCATCCAGGGTGTATCCTGCCTTGCATCTGTTGCTTGCTGGGATAGATTCCAGCTCCCCCAACCCTGAACTGGATTAACAGTTAGACAATTATATGTACTGTACAGTATATATGTCCAGTAAATAAGTAAACCATATGCAAAGAAGCAAATTCTGAAAGAATATTATTGTGCCAAGTATGATCCTTGCATATATGGGTCTAAGTACAGCCAACAGGATTTTAGTCAGCATATGTGGAGTATTTTGTATCCAAATTAATTTTACTAAGTTCAGAATGTTTCATTGTTGACTAGTTAAAACAGTTTTGATGCCAATATGACAGTAGACTCAAGGAACTTTAATCAATTAACTAGTGGTTGCTTGGGTGGTTTTAGATGTATTGTTGAACTGTTACCTTAATTTTGTTTCAAGGAATGGTTTTATTTCTGTTAGTTAAACCAAACTGATGTTTAGAAGTTGCTAATCTACGAACAAAGCAACAAAAAGTAACAGAAACTTACATCAGATTTGTTATGTACTTTTAAACAGCACTGACATGAAATAAGGCTTCCATTTTTGTACTTTAGGAAAATCCCCAGTCAATATCATGCAGATTTAAACAAGACAGATTAAACATAACAGGTTAAACAGGTTTGCAGTGCTGTGTCAAACAGTGTTCATTTCTAAATTTATGAATCCTGTTTTTACATCTTATCAATTACAACATACAGTACATCCCTAGCTAATGGTTCTAGACATTTTGCCAGTGAGGTAACATGCTGTACTTGTACAGTATGTATCTATGAAAGATTTGAATCCCTGACAGAACTTTCCTACTCCTTGAGTGTGATTGTTTTTAAAGAATGTGTTTTATTTAAAAACTTTTTGATCTATAGAGTTTCTGTTTAACTCTTCGTTTGTTTTTAATTGTTTGTATTCTAACTTGATCAAGTACCGAGCTGCACTGGTTAAAGCCCATTCATTTCAGTTTGTCTTGTACAAATTTACCGCTTTCTCATGGTTCCTGCATGTTGGTACATTTAAATTCATGATTTTAAAAGCACATTTCCTTCTTTATTAGAATACTTTTTTTTCACAAATGATTCTGACTTTCCAAAGATATGTAGTGTATGCTATTAGTATTCTTGATGAGCTGGTACAGTAAATGTATAATTAAAAGCTGGGAGTACTTGAGGGAAGCACACAGTTTGAGTCAGAAGTGGTACATTCCTACCTGTGTACATAGTAGAGGTGTCTATGCCAATTAGACTGTGTGATACTGGGTCCAGGCTCAGACTGGCAACATTTGTGCTGTACAGCTTATCCTGCAGACTGTATAAGCAATGTTACTGGTTACACCATTTAGGACCCTCCAGGCATCCATACATCTAGAAGTTGATTCAGATATTCTTGTGCTAAGCATGGCATTATTGTATTTGGAAGTACTTTTCTTTACAACCAGTTGATTTTGCATTAATACATACTGTATAAACCAGCCTTTGAACCACACAAGTAACTCTTAGATTTTACACAGTGCTCTAAAACTACATCTTTTAGTGATATAAATGGCTTAAAACTGGCTTCCTGGCTACAGGTGGCATGCCTTCTTACACTGATCCCACCGACAAAATTTCCATAATTTCTGTATGCAGCCAGCCAGTTAGAAAGCGCTGTTGTAGTTTTTAGCAGATCATGACAAGTCAAGGCCACAGATAGTTGTAATGTATTGTGACAAGCACCAGATGTTTTAATGTAGTGTGTAACTTTCCACACCAGACCAAACCCACCTGTTTCCACTCAAACAATGAACTAGGAGAGATGTGCTTTGTCAAACAATTCTTCTAATGTTTTGACAGTCACAGTACATTCTAAACAGACAGTCATGCCTCGACCATTTCCTGTGGTTTCTGGGAAAAAAAAAACAGAGCAGAATCATTTGA